AAAGTATTTATATAATTTTTTATTATAATAATACAAATTTTATTTTAACAATATAATATATTTTGGTTATATAATTTTTAAATATTTAATTTTATTTAAAATTTATTTTCAATACAATATAAAAAATAAAAAATATCACTACACTTTTCCATACAAAATCTCATCAAGTTGTGAGAAAATTCTTTGTAGGTCCTACAAAAAAATATTATTTTTTACTCATTTAAATCAAAACATTCAAACATATAAAAACTTTCTTTTGTTACACTTTTTTTTTAATCTTTACGTGATATTTTTCACCAAAACAAATAATTGGTAAAAGTTGCAAATTTGTAGTTGTAAAATTAGTTAAAAACTTCTTGTTAAAAGTTTGTAATTATATAATTAGCTGATTGAAGTGTTTGATAAATTTAGTAAAATATATTAAATATTAAAATAATTATAATTAAGTATTATTATTTATTATTAATAAATTAGTACTTATTTATTTATTTATTATCAACAAAGAAGTTAAGGGTAGATAGAAAGAACCGAAACTGGCAGAGAATGAAACAAGAGAGGGGGTGACGTTGTCTACAGTATAGCGAGAGAACGAGGGAGATGTTATTGTTAGAGTTACCATTATTGTATAAATTAAATATAAATTATTTTAAAAAATAAAAATAAGAAGTAAATTATTGATAAAAATTAGTAACTTTTTAAAGGTTAAATTTTAAAAATTATAAACTCTTAAGTAAAATTAAAAAATTTTGCTTTCAAACATGTGCTAAAACATAATAATTTTTTTAATGTGTTTAATATGGTATGATAAAAACTAATAAATAATAAATTTTTATTAAAAATCATAGCATTTAATGTTACTAATATATTAAATTTTATAATATCTTATAATTTTTAATAAAAAATATTATTCATATATTGATATTACATGTTTTTAAACACATAAAAAAATGTTTAAAATATAAATAATAATCACTGAATCATAGATTAGTTGGCGAAAGGCTATTTTAGTTAATCAAAGGTCTAATGTTTGAATATCTAATAGTGTAGTTATGGTAAAACTTAAAAGGAAGAGTTTTATTTTCCATAACCATATTATTTAATAACTAACATAATGGAACCTTCATATTGTTATTTCATTTTATTTGATTGATATATTTTTAATTTTATTAGTTAAATTTCATATAAGTGTCATGCATGGTACTATAGAATTCTGGCATTGTCGGTCAGCCATTATGATCCCTTCAAACTTAATTTATATGCCACTATTTGGTGGGCCAACCATGCATGATGCTAGGAGCAATACATCTATATAGAATTAATGGTTTTCAAAGATGATGATGATGATGAGTCAACAAACGTGTTCGTGTTCTTCATCTTTGGCTATTTAGCTCATGTATCTTGGATCCCTTTCCCTCTCACAGATGATATATTCTTGCTTAGTATGTATTTAATTTTTTCAATGCTTTTGATCGATGAGGATTTTCAAAGTTTTCAAACGGTGGAAAATCACACTCTTCTTCTAATGGTTAGCCTTTAAGTAACATAACGAAGAATGGTATGTTGAAAAGTATATCAGAGTGATATTTTATGTTTAAAATAAAATTTTGAACACTCCTATATTTTATTTTTAAATAAATATCTTTAATTTAATTTTATTTCGATTCATTTTTAAATTCTGCCCATTCTTAATGTTTTGATATGTTTATTGTTTAGAATAATAAATTAGATAAAAAATTAATGAATTTAGAGTATTTAAATAAATTTTCTTTGTTATTGGTAATATATTTAAATTAATTTAAAAAACAATTTATGAGCAAAAGGGGTGAAACAAAATTAAAATTTAGAGTATCTAATTACAAAATTGATATAGAATTAAGAATCAATTTGGACAAAATTAGAGTTCAAGATGTATAAAAATGCAGGAGGTTGAATACTCTTTTCTCTTTTATATTTGAAACACTTTTATTTATTCTTATTTTTGTAATTTTGATTTACTTTTACATCTTAATTTTAAATATCATTTTCTTTCTAGTTTTTTTTTTTTTTCTCTTTCCTCTCAAGGTGAATAAATCTCAAGAAATATGAAAAAAATCTTTTTTGTTTGTCTTTTCTTTAGGCTAAAGTTTCCATTGATACCTCTATTGAAATTGGCAACAAATAAATTATACGAAGAAGCAATACATATACTAGTTTTAGGAACCAAAGATAACAGTGAAAATAAACCCAAGCCATTTATAAAAGCCAGATTAGATAAGGAAAACAAACTTACAGCTTTAATTGTAGTTTACTACAAAAGTAATTTTCTGTTGAATTGATTAAATATATTTACTGAGGTTTTTCTTCTGAACGATGCTGGAATAGCTCAGTTGGTTAGAGCGTGTGGCTGTTAACCACAAGGTCGGAGGTTCAAGCCCTCCTTCTAGCGCTTTCTGTACTTTTGTTGTTTTTCATTCATCTCATGAACTTTAAAAGTTTTCTCTCCCTTTCAATTTTATTAATTATTTTTATTTGGATGAAAAGTACTTAAAATGTATGGTCAATATGAGTAAAGAAAATGGTCTATGAAGTAGAAAGATATTTTTGAATGACTTTTTCTTTGAATGGATTGAGAGAATCGAATAGGAACAGAACCAAACATCGGAAGTCAATGTATTCGACTGACGTTAAGAAAAAGGAATATCTGATTTCCTTTAACGTTAAAGAGCAATCTTTAGCAGAAGAAAGAAGGGAAAATAAAAGTGATAAGAACCAAAGCTCGTTGGAGCATTGAGGATTGAATTACCCGTTTTTCTTGATGTGGCCTACTATGATTCCTTGCCACTATGCCCAACCAGAGTCGTTGTTTGAAAGCCATTAGGCGTAACTTTAGGTCTAGTGGCTGTGCATCACCCAAAAGCCTTTCAAAAGACCCATTAAAGAAGCATAAAAGCGTTTTTATATATATGGGAGAGAGAGGGGAAAAAAGGACTAAACAACAGATTAATAGCTGTTAATTTTTAGTAAGTATTGCACTTTGGCTGGTGCTTAATTTATTGGTGGGTGAGTGGCCTTTTCTATTTTATTCAATTTCGTTTCACGAAGATCAATAATCAAATTAATTGATTTAATTAAATTGATAATACCTGATCATTTTTATTTTCTTTCAACTCCTTTTTTTGTTTGGCTTTAAAAATTGTTGTGATTTAGTTAAATTCTTTTTTCTTACTTCTCCTTAGTCAATTATGGTGAAAATCAAATATCAACATGTAATTAAGGATTGATGTGATTTAATTTGAATTTCTTAAGAGATCAAATTCAAAATTTAAATAAATCCATTAAAAAAGAACAAGTAAAAAATTTAAAGAAAACTTTAAACAAACAAATTCAAAAAAAAAAAAATCGCTAAAAATAAAGCTATTAAATGAAATTTTGACTAGATGTATTAAAATAAATAAACTAGTTTCATTAAAATTTATAATTTATTAGAATTATTTTAATTTGTTATTATAGAATTTACTACCATAAAAACGAGGACTTTATTACGATTTTAGAATTTTTTATTTTATTATTGAAAATTGTTTCTTATGGATTTATTCCCTCTTACTTATATTCTATCATATTTCTTATTAATCGAAAAGTGTGATAGAAAAAGAGAAAGTTAGGTCGAATAAAAATCGAATTTTCTCTTAATTTCCTTTGATAACTCTGCATGTTAATGGACTAATAGTCTGTTTGGTCGCTGCCTGGATTAATGGTCATATATTAGGATCTTATAAAACTGCGAGTAAAAAAGATAAGATTAATGACAGTTTAGTAAAAAAGAAATATTAAAAATAAGATAACAGTGTGATAAAATAGTTTGGAATAGGGTGATGAAGGAAGGATCTAATGAAAAAGGGTGACAGAGCCACGTGATTGACCCACCACCACCACTCTTGCTAGCATCAGTGGATTTCTTGGTTGGCTTCATGTCAACGCTAACAGCCAAAACAATAAAACCCAGCATTTCCATTCCTCACAATCACACAACTATAACACCACTACTTCCCCCACAAAACCATGAAAAACAAAATAAAGGCCAAAATTTAAAGTTGAGGAGTTAACATCATTAACTCATTTGACAAAACTCAACCATTCTTTTAACTCTTCTTTTTTTTACATTTTTCTCATTTTTTTTGTCCTATAATTAGTATCATCTCATACTTTTCTTTACCTCTTCTTTCTATAATTTTACCCCTTCACACGAGACCATTTAATTGAAAATTTATTATTCAATCTTAAACTATTACATGCTTATAACTTTGACCAATCATTATGGTGATGCTTTATATATATATGATATTTAAAAATAATATATACTAAAATACAGTATTTTTAAAATAATTATAAAAATATAAATTCAAAATTTATCCATAACAATTTTTTGTGCAGCTAAAAGATGTAAAAACTAAAACTTATGAAATATCGAAAATTGTCAACTTTTTTTAAAAAAATAAATGTCAAAATTTGTCAACAACGATTGTTTAAAAATTAAAATATCAAAATTCATTATTGACAATTTTTAAAATTTTCTATATTTTTTCAAAATCTTATATTTTGGTATTTTAATTTTATTTTTACCATTTTAAAAAAAGCCTCATTATGCTAATTTTCTTTTCAAAAATATAATATTTATTATAATTTTAAAATGATAAGTATTTAATTTCAAAAAATAATTACACTTTTAGTCGATTATTTTCAAGTACAAATATTAAAAACATTTTCTTATAAAGATTGACCTTATAAACATATTATAGTTACAAATCCTATAATAATTTTGGGTGTTTAATGGGTATAAAATTAAAAAATTATTTATTTTGTTTTACATTTCTGCTTTTCCTTGTTCTTTCCAGTTTCCACTAACTAACCCCTACCTATACCCTCTCTGTTTTGTTTTGGCATTTGGTAACAGGGTACCCTCACCCACTATTTGCTAACTCTCTTTCTAATGCTAGTGGTCTTTCTCACCTTCTAATGTGAAGAAGAAATTGAAATGGAAGAGAAAGAAGAAACGAAGGAAGATGATAACATTAACAACAACGAGGCTTCTTCTCTTCCAAAAGAAGAGAGCGTGAGAAAAGGGTTTTGTGGTGAAAGAGTTAAGAGAGATGAGTGGAGTGAAGGGGCAGTGTCAACACTTCTTTCGGCCTATGAAGCCAAATGGGTACTCAGAAACAGAGCCAAACTCAAAGGCCATGATTGGGAAGACGTCGCAAGGCACGTCTCCTCACGTGCCAACTGCACCAAATCACCCAAGACTTCAACGCAGTGCAAGAACAAGGTCGAGTCTATGAAGAAGAGGTACAGATCAGAGTCAGCGAGTGCGGATCACGCCTCATCTTGGCCTCTCTATTCACGACTTGATCTTCTTCTCCGTGGAACTGGCCCAGTCACGCCCGTCACCGCCGTGCCTCCGCCGTCTCAGTCGCCGTTCGACCCGTCACCACCGCCTCTTCTGTCACCACCGCCACCTCTTGCTGCTGCTTCGGCCCCAATTGCAAATGCGCAAAACTCACCTGGCTCCAATGGCGTTGATAAAATACCCAAGGTAAATATTCTATTCTCAATTTTTCATCTCCAGCTTTTAAATAAATATTTAAATTTTTATTTTAGTATCTTAAATTTTAAGAATTAATTATTTTGATATTTATGTTTATAAAAAAAATCATTTTATTCATCCTTTATTTTATTGTTTATCATTCTTTTATATAGAAATTGACTAGAATAAATATTATTTTATAAAGTCATAATTAAATTAAATTTATTGTAAAGTTAGAATTAAAATCATCGCTCTAATTAAAAGACTGAAGTATATATTCATTGTAAAGAAAAATGGTTAATTTTAGTTATTAAAGTTGTAGTTAAAGAATTAATAATAAAAATCTTCATTAAAAGAATATTGTGTATTAAAAAATAAAAATATCACAAAAAGTTTTTTTTAAATAAAAATTTATTTTTTTATATGTTTAAAATTAAAGTATGAAGTTATGGAAACCGTTTTTTTAAATCTCTATCTACTTGTTCCACTTATATGATTTCTCTCTATTTTGTGAGGTTTAATTTTAGAGGCTTCTAGTAGACTTCTATTTGATTTTATGTTCGTGTAATACTGTAGCATGAAGTGACTTAAACTTCTTTATTACTATTTGAAAAATGTTACATTAGCTTTAAAGTGCGATATTATAAAAAATATTTTCAATTTAAAATATATTTTGAGATATGTATATGTAGAAATAAAAAAGAGAGAAATAGAAATTTTTATATAATATTATATGATGTCAAATTTTATATTTAAATAATAAAATGTTTTTGAAAAATGGATTAGAATGAAATTTTGTAATTTTTTTTTACTTTCCTTATATCTTACGTTTTATGAAATCAGGAAAAAAGAAAAACTTATTTAAATTTCTTTCTCATATTTTCTTATGATAACGCGAAAATAGGGTAGAAAATAGAGGGTGTAAAAGAAATATTATTTGAAGAATTACATGAAATAAAATTAAATGGATTTTTTTTAATTTAATTGAAATTGATTTTGACACTTATATATGTGTCTCTTGTGAGTGTGTTTGTTTGTGTCTTTATAATTAAGCATTTTAGTATTTATCATTAGCATAAATTAATTAAGTGGTGGCATGTCAGGCGGTTTTTAAATAATCTTTATAACGTGTCGTATATTATTTTAATAAATATATTAATTAAAATTTTAGTTTTAATTTTTTTAAAATTTGAAAATTGATCTGTGTCTTTTCTTTTTAATAGTGATAACTTTTAACCCCATCAAATCCCTTCTTTGCTAAAGCTCCCTCGATGATGAATTTATGGTATATTTGGATAGAGAATAAGAAATTAAATGAAAAATATGTATTTTTTTGAATGAAAAAAACAAGACAAGCAAAATCATTTTTTACCTGTTTAAACGAGTGGAAAGAGAGTAAAAAAAAACTGATTGTATTAAAAATAATAATAAATTAAATTAATTAAAAAAATTAAATTTTTTATTATAATTTTTTCTTCATGAAAATTACTTTTATTTTTATATTTAAAATTTATATAGATATTATTAATAATAAAATAAAAAATCTGGCCAAACAAACACTTTTCTTTCTCTCTTCAAACACACTCGAACTTTCTTCCTTGTCTCCTATGATTGCAAGTCCTCTCGTAACAATAACAAAATGTTAGTAATACGCTTGTTTTAATATTTTTTATAATTATTCTATTTTTTGAAAATTTAAAAAATCATAAAAATATATATGTTATTTACGTTTGTGGACTCTTGTCTCCATTTGTATTCTCAAAATCTCCCGTTGCAAGCTCATAGGATGAAAGAACCTAAAATGTGAGTTTTGGGGCCAAACATCGAATACGCACATGGCCACCATAATTGCAAAATGGACTGTTATTTTCATATTTGACTTAAAAAACAAAAGTATTATGTTCATATACGAACGTAGCAGAGTTGTTGAAGAACTAGAGTGAGTGTAGGTATCATCGCATAGATGCAACATTACTTCATGTCTCACCACTAGGTTCAAGGGCCAATCATTGGTTTATTCTGTACTGTGCTTCTACTTTAAATGTAAGATATTAAATTTCTTCTATTAAAATTATCACACTTTTTTTTTACTTCACTTTATATTTTATATTTCTAACCTTTCGATTTTTAATAATAATTTTTTTGTCATTTTAACACATCAATTGTTCAAAAGTCTTAATTATGATTATAAATATATAAAAAATCAAATATGAAACACGTGAAGAAATAATCGTATTAGAATATTATATTTAGAATGCGGGTGTGTTTATTGTTGTACTAAAATGTCTATTTTCATTCGTCTTTAAATAATTTTTATTAATTAAATTAATAGTAATATTAGTAAAATAAAAAATAATAATAGACACATTGACTGACAATTCTATTAAATGCTTCAAAAGTACAAACACGAAATGAACAGTGAAGTAATAACTGTGGACATAAAATGTCTAGACTGGTCCAAGCTAGCTAACTATGCAACTTATTTCAACAGTATAAATGCTAATGCAATTGAAGTTGACATTAAAATAACCGAAAATACAAAGCACACCCATACGTATTCTCACAACGTATATTAATTTTATTAGGTTTAACTAATATTTTAATCTTAAAATTTGATTTTTAATTTAGTTCTTTATTTTTATTTTTAAATAGATTATTTATAACTTTTTTATCAAACAATATTGGAATGATTCTTATTTCTTATTTAATCACTCTAAATTTTGTAAAATTTTTACTTAATTCCTCTAAATATCATGGGTTTTTCTTTATTCTCATAAATAATAAACTTTTTATTTGCTGATTTTCTTAAAAGGACCATTCTATTTTATTGTCACCAAAAAAATCGTACTGTCCAATTGACATTCACCATTTTTTTTTCTTTCTATTAGTTACATCACATTACTCGTGACACTTATGACATTTTTATGAATCTTTTTGTTCTACCTCTCTAAATGTGTACACTTGAACCTTGTGTATGAAACATATTTCAATTACTAATGATATGGTGAAGATTAACAGGAAGATGGGTTAGCAACTAAGTCATGTGATGATGAATCTAACAAGAATGCATTGGACACGGATAGCAGCACGCCTGCGCTTTATAGCAAGAAGGAAGAGTTGAGAAGTAACAAGAGGAAGAAGAAAACAGTTGACAACAATGGAAGAAGAAGGAAAGAGTATGTGGAGATAGCAAAAAGCTTAAGATGGTTAGCGGAAGCAATGGTAAGGTCAGAACAAGCAAGAATGGACACAGTGAAAGAGATAGAGAGGATGAGAGTTGAAGCTGAAGCTAAACGAGGGGAAATGGATCTTAAGCGAACCGAAATAATAGCCAACACACAATTAGAGATTGCTAGGATCTTTGCAAGTGTCAACAAAGGTAGTGTTGATTCATCTTTAAGAATTGGAAGAAGTTAAGGGTTCCTTTTGGAAGCTAATTAATAAAAAAAAAAGTTGTTGTAAGTGCACATAAAGTTAGTCAATATTATATTTTTGAAAAGCAAAACTTTTGATGGAGGGGATAGGGTGTTTATGAATGTGTAATTGCCTATGATAGTGAAGAAAGTAGCATATGATAGTGATAATAATAATAAGAAACCAAGGGTCAACCTGCTTTTACTATTGCTTTTGCCTTGCGGTAGAAGTAAAACAAATAAAAAGGGTTTATGCAGGGTAGTTTTGGATCACATGTAGCCCACCATTAATAGCAGTTGAGTGTGAGCAGATGAATTTTTTAAAATATTGAAATAGTTCATTAACCAATTATAGTTTATATGGTACAATTTAACTTTATGAATTGGTTGATATAAAATTATAATTCTAATGGTATTCATAATTTTTAAGAAATTCCTGGGGGATACTATCATCTTTTTTTTGCTAATTTAATTTATACTATCTAAATATCTGTATATCTGTCCAATCACTTTACAACCTTGGGAAGTATTTCCCATTCGTTTGGTTAGATTGTAACTTTTCTTTCTTATTTCCTATTATTGACTATAATTTTTTTTGGTCAACATAATATAACTCTAGTTTCAATGGATGGGTTTTCTCAATTGGGGGTATGTACGGGCTTTTCCCATGCAAATATACAAGGCCCGATATTTTAGTAGGTTGTACATGTGTTAAGTTTGCTGGCCTCTTTCATAGCTAGCAACACTCTTTCTCTAACGTACTATTTATTGTTTATTAAAATTTATAAAAATAATAATAATAATTTATGAGTGAAAAAAAAAAGATTCACATAATTTTTAATAAATTTTATTTAAAAATGGAGAATATGTTACTAATATTCCTAAAATATGTAATGTGGGGTATCCTATGGCCTAATGGGTCGGGAAAGTGACAACTTATTTCAACAGTTTTGTAAAGGCTGCATGCATAACATGTTCTTTTATAAATTTCTTGGCGCAAAGAAATGTTTTTACATTAAAATTCTTTCTTCACCAAAGCTCTAGTTAGAGGGTTATTTTTCACCCGTTTAAATCTTAGCTCGCACACATTCTCAAAATCAGATAAGTCAAGCATGACATACTTGATACAAATCATAAACACTTTCTAAGCATCATTATTACATCTATTATCTACATGTGAAACAAAAAACTAGCCACTCTACTATCATAGACATAAAATTCATATATCCAACCATATGACAAATACTTGTAGTATGATACTAGCTTGGCAGTTAACAATTTTCTATACTCACAATAAAACTTTTCATATATTTTAATTGTTCGACATTATCCATAACATCTACACCCACATATACATTTCCGTTCAATAATATTATCGCATACCCTAAAAATATAATAAACCAACTGAGACCAAATACTAATAATATTGTAACAACAAACCCCCTAAACCATCACTATCTACCAATTAGGCTATAGCATTATCAATGGATTGCTTCTTGTTACTAATCAATATTTTCTTTCATCAACACAAAGAAATACAAAATACACCAATGATCTAAACAAATTTAAAATTAATAAAAAATAAAGAAATATACCTATCAAACCTCTCTCGCTATTAGAGTTTTCTTATGCACCAACCGAATGCTAAATTCTTCCATTCTGTTAAAAGTTCTAAAAAAAATACGATAAAACTATAAATAAGTCAATCTCATCAATAATGCAATTATTTGATAATAATAATAATAATAATAACAACAACATCACCATTTAGTAGTCGAAGATTTGAAGAAAGGGTAGTCAATGGGGTTCCATGGAGTCATTTCATGTGCTGGGAACGAATGGGGTTTCAAAGATAGGTTTTAGTGGTGTCAACTTAACATTTTGGAAACGTTTAGCTTGAGAGAAATAAAGAGAAACAAAGAGATATGAGAGGTGAGATATATTTATGAGTTGAAACATATTTGTGTGAGTTTGGGGTCGTCTTAGGATTCTAGAGTTTTGTGAGCCAAAATTTGTCCTTTCAAATATGAAAATGAACTTGAAAATATTAAAAGCTGAGTGACTAAACGAGTTCAGTAAACAATTTCATTAAAAATAACAATTAGCACCTTTAAAAAAAAAAGATCGATGGTTATTGTTTTTACTCTTGTATTTTTCCTCCAAAAATATATTGCATGCTCATCACTTTCCTCTTATTAAAACTAATTCATCTTGTTAGTATGGTTAGAAGAAAAAAGACTAATAGAAAGAAAAGCAAGAAGAAAATTGAACCTCTAAGGATCAACACCCTTTCCTAAGAATTTATGATATGAGCAGATTTCTATGTTAAATTGAAGAAAAAGAAATGTGTTCTACGATGCTTCCACCTCATGATTGTTGACGCAAATGATTATTAGTTTGATATACATTTTCTAACTTTCACATAAATCATATTATTAACTTTAATTGTACTCTCGTTTTATCATTTCACATATTTTGAAAATTATATTTTTAACTTGTAAAAAGAATAAAATTATCTGTGTTTTTTATTTGTTTTTAGATCGTTTCTACTTTAAACTCTTAAAGCTCTAGAACTGTGCTATAGGATCATATAATCGAAATAAACCAGTTGGAGACCTCTGAGAGTTGTCTATAAGCCGATTGAATGGAAAGTTTCAATTAATATCATTAGGGGAAGTTGAGAATTAAAATAAAAAGTTTGTAGACTTAAAAAAAAGGTATTTAATGTGTTATCTAATATTTTTGTAATGAATATTATATTAGTTTGCATTAGAACTTATACTGAAGAATATTATTAGAATTTATTTGGAATATTAATCAGGTGAACATGCCATGTGCATTGATGTTTTGTACAGTACAGTACATTTTTTAATTATTTAAAAATATGTATATCACGTAAATTAATATTTTAATTAATATTAAATGATCTGTATATTTTAAATTATATAAACTAGTGATCAATCAGTAATTAATTTTATTTTAAATTATGTAATTATGTCTAAAATTAGTGACCACATTTTGTCTTTAAATTAATCTTTAAATTTGGTCATTAAATTAGGTTGTTAAATTTAGTCTCTAAATCATTTGTCAAATTCAATCACTGAATTTTTGGAATGAATATACAAAACTCCATTGCCTCCCAAAATGTTTTTGCTATAAATACATGGAGCGAAGAATTAAGTGACATTGGCTATCCAAAATGTCACACCTAACTTCTTTAACATTTAATTCTCACACTCTTTATTTTCTTTTGTAAGTACTTATATGCTTGACGGAATAATTATTTAGTTATCTCTTAGCCTCATATTATGTGATAACCTAAATCTTTTTTTTTCAAAGTTCACTTTTAATTAATTAGTATTTTTTTTTACTTAGATCTATGTTGTGATTTTTTTATTAACATATTATAAAATCACTATTTTAATTAGAAAGTTTGTGCTATGGAATGATTAGATTATGTAACTAGATATTGATAAATCTTAACTAGTTGTACAATATTCTTAATTCAACTAATCGTCTGAGTACTATTGCTTTTTCTTAAAAAAAAAAAAAAAATACTCTACCATTTTTAAACAGGTATGAAAACACTATTTAATCTCTTTTTTTATGACCTTTTTCACTATAATCACAGTCATAATCATTATATTTCATATTTTAACCGTGCAAAATTATTTATAATAATATTGTGTATACAAAGTCACCAAAGGGCTACTGCAAAGATATAAAATAATCACAAAACTGAAATTAAACTTTACTTAATCAATGCTCTCATGAAACTTTCCCAATGATGAGATGCAGTATACTAAGATCCATTCCTTTCCTTGCATACAGAGGAGAAAGAGATTGGTCATAGTTGTTGGCTTGAATGATAATGATGGAGAAATTACTAGAGTCGTGAGGCTTGGGATTGGAATAATTGACTAACAGTGATAGTCTTTGAAAGAGAGCGTGAACTTTTAAAGAGAAAGGAGACGAATTGAGGGATAAGATGAGAAACTCATTCATAAATTTTAATCCAAGGGTCAAAAGTTACGACTTTGTTATTATTATATTTTATAAAAACATATCTTCATGCCTCAATAAACACTCAATGAATATATTGAGTTTAAACCTAAAATTTATAACCTAATAAAAAATAAAAATTACGAGGAAAAAATACACAATAAGTAAATTATTAAATTATAACCTAAATTCATACTTTTTTCCATTCAAAGTGCATCATAAACGACCAGTGTGATTTCTAGCATACTAGGAAAATTGAAGATATGAACACACTATGTAATTTCTAGCGATTCGCATGGCATTATCAGATGATATAAGTTTTGGATAAGAATCAGTGTTTGAATTCATTAATTAATGAATAAATTGAAGATGAAGTTTTAATACATTGGTACGGATGGGTCAAGCAGCCTCTACCATTCAAAGGTGACGATTCAATGCTTATACAACTCCACTTCCCCCATGAAAGCAGCAACTAAGTTCAATGGCAAACAGCAGTGAGAAATTACTATATGAGATTAACCTCAATTAATGTGTTCGATCCTATGATGCATAGAGTAGCTTTCAGTAACATCATTTTTGCAATAAATTGTTTATTAGTTCCTTAAATTATAGAACTGAAAGTGATCGTTGAATGTCTATTCTACCAATTCCTAATTGATGTGTAATTGGGTGTTCGCATTAATTTTTGTATAAGGTTTTGTATTTATTGATTCTATCATTCTGTTTTCGAATATGCATTTTTGTAGTTAGATTTGTTTCAATTATTCCTACAGTGAGTTAGCTAAGGAACAATATAAATGCTATTCATGGACGTACAGCTGCTAGCTATTACACCCCTTCACTTTTTTTCTTAATTAGATAATTAAAAAATAATAAGAATGGTTAGAGTGGGAGTGAAATATGAGAAGAGTTATGAATAGTAAACATAAAAAATTAAGCATAATAAAGAAAATTTTAATTTCTCTCAACAAATAAATCGTTTAAATTTTTTTATTTGATAAAAAATTATCTTGTTAAACTTTTGTAGCATTTTAAAATTAATTTTTTTAATATTCAAATACATAAATAATAAGAATTTTAAAATTTCCTGTCTAAACACATTATTAGTGTTATTTTTAATACTATAGCGCTATCTTAAATCTTT